TCAACGACTTATGTTTTTCCCTTATCCATTTAACTATGATATTTTGTTTTCTTCTCCTACGCTATCCAAATGTTCATCTGATTTCTCCGTCCTACCTTGGGGACTACTTGGTTTGGGCTTTGAATTCATTTTTGGTACTTGTTTGTCGCGATGGAGTTGAACATTCATTTAATTCTTTTTAGTTCTGTTTATGCAAACTAACCGTTTTTCTACGATGGAGTTGAACATTCATTTTCCATTCTTGTGTTTGATTAGATGTTGTTTTTCCTATGTACAAATGTTTCCATGTTAATGAGTTATTTTCCCCTTGTCCTTTCAACTTTGATCTTTTTGTTTTGTCTCATATGCTATCAATATGATTAAATTCGATTTCTTTGTCCTTTTAACTTCGTTCTTTTTGTTCTGTCTCATACGCTATCAATAAGATTAATCTGATTTCTTTGTCATACCTGGGGTGGCGACATGGTCCTGGCACAGAATTTGGTTTTACTACTTATTTATGGCTAAAGAGTTGGACATTCAATTGGATTTTTTAATTAGATTTCTCTATATACTAATATTTTCCAACTAAGTTCCTGTTTTCCTTTATACTTTTAGTTTTCTCGTGTTTACCAATACAGATCATTCACTTTATTGCCCCGTGGGGACGATTTGGTTTGGGCCTTGAATTTGGTTATGCTGCCTATTTGTGGCCAAGGGATTAGATATTCAATTTGATTTTTAAGTCTTCTCATATATTAATATTTTTTTTGTTCTATTCTCTTGTGCTATTAATACAGGCCATCCAATTTACTTGCCCTACCTTGAGGGGTTGAACATTCTATTATCTTTTTCAATTTGATCTATGTCCTAGTATTTTCTTAGCGATGTCCTATTATATTCAAGGACATGGGCTCCTAATATGGTTTCTCGAATTCCCTTTTACGTACTTTGTTCTATTTCTATGTACTTATGTTTCCCTATCAATGACTTGTGTTTTTTCTTGTCCATTTAACTATGATATTTTGTTTTCTTTTCCTACGCTGTCCAAATGTTCATCTGATTTCTCCGTCCTACCTTGGGGACTACTTGGTTTGGGCTTTGAATTCATTTTTGCTACTTGTTTGTCGCTACGGAG